AGTAACATTCACTTCCATTCTTTCATATATGAGCACAACAGCACAAAGTTTAGGTTACAAACACAGTGAAGGATGTTAAATTTTATCACAATTGTCAATGGAAATTAAAAGCAAAAGTAATCCAAAGAAAAGAAAAAAATATTGGCTGAGTTGATGTTTTTCCAGTACCTAAACAGACTTTCCCAAATGAAGCTGTGCTGATTTTGTTCTCACTTTATTCACTCATATTAAAGATTGTGCTGGAGAACTGTTTTGATGTAATTATACTAGTGCAGATTTCCATAATGTAAGCAAGTCCTAAATGATCTAAGTGATGACTAACGGAGGGAAAACGACGATAATCTGTACAGGGGGAAGAGAAATTGGTTAGCATGTCTGTAGGAGGCATAACTACAAGAAATGGGATTAGATCCCGATAAAGGATATTTAGTGTGAATCTAAGAGAAAACAGTGAGATCAATGCAGCTGCAGAATAGTCTTTCACTGGAGGTAACACAAGCCTATCTGTGAGGCACAAGCAACCAAAAATTCAGTAAAAAATACTCTTTCACTAGGCTTTGCATTGAGCTGATCTAAAATGACAAAAAAAACAACTTGAAATTTTCCATTCACAACCTTGTTATTTATGGGCATTTGGATTTTTGCTTGTTTGTTTTAATTTTGCCTGATAGCATCAGCTTACTTTAAAATAAGTTGGTTTGGTTCTTTTCGCTTATCAGAGCACAGAAAAAGGAAAATGGAAAGGTTTCCAGTTTGGTAAACTATACATTCCAGTGAAAAGAAAAGAAATCAAAGATTTCCTCTGGGAAGAAAATATCACCTATTCCAGCTAGCTGCAAAGACGAGCATCTCACACCATCCACAATAAACCACACGTCAGCTCATGTTCAGGAAGCTGTGAATGAGGAACTGAATATTGGGGTTTTGTATTTAAGCTTTGGCCTGTTATTTCCCCTGGCATTTTGGAGAAGCAGGTTGCCTGGACAATGCATTCTTTTGATGTTTTGACACTAGTCTAAGGAGCACAGCTGAGAAAAATTTATTACTGACGACCATTGTTTTCACTCTTCTGCTTCACATTTGCCTTACTCAGTTTTCTTCACTCACACTCACTTTGCTTTGCTCAGTTTCATGCCAGTCAATGCTCCAGGTTAATCCCACACAAATTTATCATCTCCTTCAAATGAAACCTCAACAGCCAAGTATCTATCCGAGGTGGTAAATAACACTTTGCTAACGATCAGTCACTACATTGAAGCCACAGAAGGGGAATGGTCAGGACTTTTTCTGTTCTCTGCAACGTCTTTTATCGATCTATCAGATAGATGCTTCTGTGCTGCTCTGTGAAGTCCTTAACACTGGAAGAGCTATGAATTATGGGGGTTTCTAAGCAATATTGTCCTACCATAGCTACTACTGGCTTAGCACGGATGTGGCACTGCGGAACTAGCTTCAGGACCCAGTGTGGGGGGCTGGAATCACGTGGATCATTGCTGCTTCCATGGGGACGATCAGAGGAGCTCATCTTCCTGCCTGTTCTAGTAGTCCTCCATGGTGTTGGCCATGCAGAAGGCTCACATGTGCCTCTTGGCACGTCTCAGAGACCCTTTCAATGTTTGACAGCAACTTTAGAGCACTTGCAGTGAAAACAAAGGACTTCAAATCACTGTGGCCAGGACTGCTTATGTCTCAAAAGGGAGATTTATAAGTTAAAAAACAGTGCATCCAGAATAAAAATTGAGTGGAGTTCTTTCTTGGTTAGGAAATAGCACTCTGGTGGACTGCATCAAACTGGGTGCTGGTTGCTTTTTTTATTGTCAGCTTCTTATTTTTGGAAAGGAATTCAATAAAACAAAGTTCTTCCTTAGAAAAATCCCAATTAAAAAGTTTCTTGAGCATCCTCTTAAAGCACATGAATAATTGCCCTGGTGTCATGTACATGCTTCAAATTGGAATTAAGGACCCTGAAGAGCTGCTACCAAAGTCAAACTAGAGAAAAACATACAGGAGTTATTGTATTTCTGGCAGTTAAGGGAGCTGCCTGCTTTCAAGCTTTGCCATAGCTATCTGTGCCGAACCCATGGGCCTAGCTGCCTTCTGTCCTTATGTTTTTGGAAACTTCTTGTTGCATTAATGACACTGTCTACCAAGTGGGGAAGTCAGAGACTTCCAGTGGTATTTTGGAGTTTGACTGGAAATTGCACATCAGACCAGTCATGGGTGCACATTAACACCATGTTGAGCCAAGAACAACTGACCTATTTCTAAGTAAGGGTTATTGCTGAAGGCTTAGATCTGTGATGATTGATGTTGTACAGCCCTGGTGAGAAGATGTCCTGTGGCCATCATGACTAAAAATCCTCTGCCTGCTTCTAGGGTGCTTGTATGGATGTTCCTGAACACTGGAAAGAAGTCAAGCTGAAGAAAGAGATGTATCTAAGCCCTTCTAAACTTCTGGGTATGCTCCTGTCACCAAGTATTCTCTCTGGTATAAAGTAGCATGGTAGTCCCTGTGCTAAATCAGATCCTTCCCTGGAATAAGCTTTTTCAGTGTCCTCCTGGGGTCACATGCATTTGGCCAATTCCTTTGTTATATGCAAAAAAACATACACAAACAATTTTTCCTCCTGCAGAACTCTCTCCTGCTAAAAGATAGGTACAGCTTTATCTCCTGCAATGGGCTGACTAAAGTGGGAGTCTACAAGAGAAGAAGGACCTGTGATCTGCATTTACGCCATTTCGATAGGGACTGTACCTCTAATAAAGGCTCCTATAAGCAGAAGATGGGATTGATCTGGTGGTAACAATTTAACTGATTTTGCTGGACAGCAAACTACTAAAACCTAAGGAAAAGCCAGAAAGACAAAAGGACTTCCTATCTAAGAAGCAACAACTGAAGACTGTTCTCCTGCTTTGCAGAAGCAAAGAAAACAAATGCCCAAAGAGAAATACGGATTTTTACTGCATTTTTTTATAGTTTACTAGTGAAAAAGAAAAAAAAAAAACCAAAAACCAAACCCCAAACAACAAATCTTGTTTCTCCTACTGAGTCATCTTTTCTTATACAAAACAACCTGATACCTCAATATCAGCCTGATCATGAAAAGGTAGAGACAGAGCACATCATAATGATCCATGATAATGAAAACACTGTAGACTCATACCAGTGAATCTGTAACAACACACGTGTCTACAGCTCTGCAGTTTCTTACATGACCATAAGAAACAAGCATATCTTCGGTGTTTACAGCTATGCTAAGCTGTAATGTTATTGCTTGGCGCCAAACTAGGAAGGCACTTCTGTTCCTTGATCTCTTTGTTTGTGTTATTGAAAATCTCCCCGATAAAGACACTCCCTGCTGTAACAAAATTGCATACATGCATCTCCTGCTCTCCCCCAGCAAAACCTGCAATAAAAAGCCAGTGTGATGAAGCAAAAAGCATTTGGATATGGAAACATATTTTGGTTTCAAGCTTCCAAAAGGCCTTGTCATGAGCAAGGAAAAGAGGTATTTGAAGAGGGAAAATGCGTTGATAGTTATCTTCATATAGTCACATATAAAGGAGAGTCTGAACTATGGAAGCTGTATGTTGCACATGCACCTAATATGTTTACTGAAAGGTTTTTTAATCTGTTTCATGTTTCTTTCAGGGCAGCACTTTTTCAAAGACATTTTGATCCCACTCTTTAATTCTCCGTGGAAAGGGTACTGCTCTGAAGACTGAAAGAGTACATTTTAGAAAGATACTGGAGATAACAGTGAAAAATTAGAACATTTCATAGTTCTTTTGGAAGTTTGAAGATAGGGATTTCCTGCCTGCATCTCAGAAGGGTCAAAAATATTCTGAATCAAAATCACTGAATCTTTGACATTACAGCTCTAATGGCCTAGGAAGGTCACCTAACCTATCTCCCTGTCACTAATTTGGGAGTGAAAACTGCTTGTTGGAGTTTAGGGTCACCCTGGGTGCTGGTTTTATTGGGAAATCTTCAGTATAGAACAGTTTTAACAACAGGGAGACTCTCTGTGACAAAAACATGCAGTTTTGTATTTCTATTTCTCAAATAATTATCTAATGGAAAATCCAGCCAGTAATGGAAAATATTTCCACTTTTGGAAACACCTCTATTTTTATTATTGCAATTTCAACACAACAAGCTGCTGCTTCTGATATTTTTGACACTGTTAAAAGTATTAGAAGTTCGCTTGGAGCATCAAGCTGGCTCCTTTTCCAACAACAGAAAGTATATGAGTCTAACTATAAGACCCTTGTTCAGATTTGTCTAGGTCCTCACTCAAGCAAAGCTTTCTTGGCTTTGCTTGGGTTTTATCTACACACAGAAGTTAACACTAACTGAGGAAGAAGTGAACATGGATCTTTCTATTAATTTCTTGGTCTTGAGAAGAAAGAAATTAGGGGTTATTTAGTTGTCAGGGAGACATATTTACATAAAGTTATTATGCTGGGATGAAATTGGATACAGACTATACTGCATGAGGAATGAGGAATGCTTTGAAACGTTTGCAACACAGAGCTATTGAGACAGACACTGTCCCAGACCAGTCACCTGGGATTAAACTGCAGCTCAGTCCCATCTCTTAATTGCAGATTTTTTTCAGACACCAGAAATATTGTCTTTGGCTGAGCGAGGGGAATCAAGACAGCTGCTGGCTCTCCTCTAGTGACCAGGAAGACTTTCTAGAGATGCAGGATGCCCCTGGGGTGGGGAGCTTGGCTCATCTCTTGTTAAGCATCCTTCCACCTCTTTTTCTAATGAGACGCACGCATAAATGGTTCCTGGTTTATGTGTGCATGCGTATTTGTGGAGTGTGGCTCTAGCCAGAGGCCTAAGTGGAAAAGGCAGAAGCTAGAGAGTCACAGAATTGAATCTTTTCTGAGGGTTTATAACACAAAGAGAGGCTACAACCATAGCTGACACCTCTTCCCCATGCAGTTACCTGTGCTAGTGCTTTGTATCCAGTGGTTCCCTCAACACCTCAGTAGGGACGGTTAGCATCCTTTGGCCTCTTCAGCTGCACCTTCAGCCTCTTCATGCCAATTTGGAAGCCGTTCATAGCCTGGATAGCAGCTTGGGCACTGGCAGGATTGTCAAAACTCACAAAACCTGTTAAAACATGAGGCAAGGCAGGGGGCTTAATGATCTGAAGGGAGCCAAGGCAAGTACATGCAACGACCACTGAGAATGAACATGGGGAAGGGGTGAGGGTGGTGGGAGGGAGGGATAAAGCAGGGAGGAGGGTGGGCAGGAGAGTGAGGAGAGGATGGTTGCCAATGGGGAACAAAGGATAGGAGGGGTTGTTACAGATCAGTGTCCCAGGATGTAGTGCTGGTCTGAGTGCCAGCTTGGACACAAGACTACGTGAAACACAAGGATCCAAATATTGGTGCCACAGTACCAGAACACACAAGATTTGGGTCACCTTTGAGCTGGGGTGTCAGCAGACATGATGCATGGTCTCAAGGAGCTCTGTCTTGCTCTTTTCCCTCCATCATGACTGGGGTAAATCTCTATGCCCTCCTTCACTCACCAGCATAACCTTTCCTTTGCCTCCCAATACTAACGATGAAGGGAATCTGACACACCTACTGCTATGTCTTTATTATGGCAATATAAGTAAAATGTGAATTTAATAAGTTCTCCATTATGGTGTTCATTGGCATGAATAGTTTGATTGTTGGCCACTTAAGCACTATGAGGAGGTTTATTAACTGGCAATTTCTTCAGACTTTATGTTGACTCTGCAGTTGAGAAAGATGAACACTGCTGTTTTCCTAACATGGTTTCCATAAGTACTTTCATACCCTGACAGCAAATCATCCAATCAGCCATGGAGTGTACCCAGCAGTAGAAACACATATAGTGACTGAATATTGTACCTACAGGCCACCTGAAATGAAATTCTTCGTCTCAATGGAAGACTTGCTCTCTGGGGATCAGAAAAGCCAAGAAAGGTCAGAACCATGCAGGTTGCAATGCATCCAACGCATGCAGCTTTGGGAAGGGTGTTTGGTTTGTTCCTTTTTTGTTTGTTTGGGGGAGGGGGGTGTTATGTTTTTTCCCCCCTATGTTAGCTCCACAAAAAGGCCTCATTTGGCCAGACTGTATACAACTTCAGCTGGAGTGACCATGGGTCTGAGATATTAGTGAGGCAGGGGGGCATCACATTGTAAGAATTGCCTCTTCTACCTTGCCAGACATGTCCCTGTGTTCAACAGTATTTTTGAGCACAAACCCTGGTAAGACTAGCCTAGACCAGCCTGCACTCCAGACAAAGCCATCTGTTTTCCCACCCCTGCAAAGCTCTGGCAGCACAAATCAACCCTAGGAACCCACTGTGTCTCAACAGATAGGCTGAAATGAAAAGACAGTTTGAGAGCCCTTCAAAAAGCTAATGCTGAGCATTTGCTGCCAGGTATACACCTGCTCCAGACAACAGCACCGGGCATGGCTTACAGCCTTGGGCTGTACTGTGAATGCATTCAGCAGCACCTCCTCCAGCACCTTCTTCATGGTCTAGTTCCTCCTAGTCTCACAGATGACACAGGGTAGCTTCCATTTGCAAACGACATGCATACACACCTCTCACTCTTGCATTAAAGCTGTGCTCTGCCTCTGGCTAATAGCATAAGTTTATGAGAAATCATAAAACTTATGGTCCCAGCCTCAAAGTGAGACAAAAAGGTTTACTGAGTATGGCAAATGTGGCTTTAAAAAGGAGGCCATGGAATAAACAGGCATTCCTCTTTGTCCTCTCCTCTTGAAGCCAAGGCTCCAAGTAATTGGCTGTCCATGCGACTTTCCTGCCAACCACCTGGATGAGGAGGTACCAACACTGCAGCTTGAAGACCTGAGCAAAAGAGTTGCTCAAGCCTCGCAAGCACCCATCAATCTCCAGACAGAAAACTGGAGAGTTGTTGTGAGTAATGAGCTGTAGTATTATTCAATGGCAATGGATCTGCTTTTGCAATCACTTATTATCCAGTAAGCACCTGGTAATGTTCCCAGTGTACAATTGACTGCTGAATAATCTGTTAGTCAAAAACATCCTATGACTTGATTTCAGCAAAGGAATAAACTAAACACCTCCTGATTTCACTTGAGTTGATTCAGTCTTTCAATACTGCTCAAAGCTTGCTTGTAAATGTTTTACTTCAGCTTCAACTTGAAATTTGCTGTCTACCTATACCACATCTTTCAATATAGGATGTAGTGAAAACCAGTTCTTTTTAAAATCACCTCTGGATTATTAATACTCCTTTCCAAGACCTATCAGCCACATCTATAACAGTAAACTAAAGCTCTGCCAGGGAAGTTCAGAGAAACTGGAACCTAATCATCTGTACCACTGAATTTTTAGAAAGGTCCTTGGCATAGTTTTGGCGTGTGCCTAACTTCATACAATTCCTGGACTAAGTCTAACCATTAACAAAGAACAGAGGCTGCTTTCAGTAGCTGGCTTGGATGTGGACATGATATTCTGGAAAGTATGAGAATTTAATAGTTCGGGTGTGGGCCACCCTGTGCCAGCTGGCCCCAAAGCTAGGGGAAAGTGCCAGGTATGTTTACTTTACTAATACATACATGGCTATCAAATATCAAAGCCAAGCTGGCTGCAGCTGGATAATTGCTTATATCATGTCTATAGGGAACCTTGCTTGCCTGGGAACTTTGATTTCTACACTTCTATTTCTACAGGTCCTGTTGCAAGGTACCTCCTACTGACTAAATGTGCACAACTAGAGTGTGTCTACATGTGCTTCCATCTGAGAGCAAGTCACCTTGGGATCCCCAAATAGTGAGTGTAAGTCTAGCCAATATAGTCAGCGAAGTACAGAATATAAAGTAGCTGAGCAGCTGCTCTAGGTTTTATGGCACACCCTTTCTGAAATATTCTAATAAATGTTATATACACATTTTAAAAGACAAAGTGAATCCAGACTTTTCATACAAGCTCACCTTTTGGACATGTACAAGGAAGAAGTCAGTGGCAGTGCTGGAGTAGTGGTTAGATGTGATGATCTTCAAGGTCTTTTCCAACCTACTTGATTCTATGGTTCTATGATTTCTTTCTTTTTTCAGAACACTCCTAGATGTGTCTAAATGAACAAAGTTCCACTGGCTGTGTAGCAAGGACCAGTGCTGACTGCAATGAAGGCTGGCAACTAGCTTAAAACTATCGTGGGATTTACATGGTTCTGTAGTTGGGACTGGCGTCTCAAGGTAGTAGTATATAGTTAATTGAATAATGCCCAGGTGAGTCACTCCTCAAAATTTTGTTAATTACTGAATCAAACTCCTAATGAAAGAAAATCCTACCAGAAATGCTGCCAAGTATGATGGAAATCCACTTTTGACAAGACTGGATATTTAGTTGGGTGATGAGCCCTAGTGCTGGGATGCTGGTACAATTGTACCTTTGCAAGAACCTTGCCTTTATATAAGCTCGCAAAGCTAAACTAGTTTTTATTATCACTTTGCTTTCAAGATGGAATTCTAAGGCCATTTCCTCACACTGCAAAGCTGTAAATAATACAGCATTTTAACAAATGGGACTAATAAGAGAGATCAGAAGTGCATTCGCTCACTATATTTCATTTGGACCAGATAATGAAGCCGGGAGTTGTACTCTGATGTTATTGGTATTAGTTACCTATGGATTAGGGCCAGATTTGGATTTTTTAGGCTTTTTTCTCCTTAGTTGTCCTGATATCCACTGCTATAATATAAAATCTCCACTAGCTAGATGCTGAAGTTTGGGGGGCTGGGGTGCAAGGACAAACGTCAATAGTTGTGCATCTTTTTTGTGAGCACATCCTAGGGACAGAGCAGCTAATTCCTGTAGCTTCATTATACCATTTAAGTTTCAGGGAGCTTGACATGCTCAGATGATGTTGGTGCATTTGGCTCTCCATCTTTTTGCTATTTATGTGGAGCTGTATTTCATATTGTTTTAGGTATTTGTATGGACTCCAAAAAGAAGAGAAGTTATGCCTTGATCTGAGACTTGGGATGTCACAGTGATAAGGATAGGCAGATAGACAGACAGACAAGCCGTGCTGACTATTTCATATTCCTTTCTCTTTTCAGGTCAAATATCTACTGGTGTATTATATGTCTTTGTCGTTGTGATGTGCACTATTGGCAGTTATCCATTTTTGTTTCTCCATGTCAAAGTCAGCCATGTTAATGGTGCTATGCCAGCTTAAACATGTATGGCAAGGATCAGAATGTATACAGTGTGAAAATAGCTTCAATAGTTGCTTTCTGAACGGCTTTAAGGTTTGAGTCCATGAGTATAGGGCTCAATGCATTTTGATAGTATTACTGTTACTCAAGAAGTTATCTGTGTTTTGAACACTGCCCCTGCATTGTCATCTACCTCTTGAAGGACAAAAGAGAAAGGGAGAGGTTAAAAAGCTTGAAGCTGTTCCTGTGCATCAGTTAATTAATAATCAGAGAAATATATGTTCTGGTCTGAAGATGGTTGGTAGGAGGACAGGATATTGTGATAAATCTATTTTATGGGGGGGATGTTGGGTTTTTTTTCTCTCCACCCTGGGATTATGTAAAAAGGCTGTTCTAATAAATGATTTATCAGAGCAGCAAAGAATGAAGAAATCTGCTAGGACTGCAGTTCTGGGTCTCTAATCTTCCTGATTCTGCACAGCACCTTCCAGGAGGATACTGATGTTGGAGTCCATGACTTCTGCTCTGTTCTTTTCCTGCATGATGTGTAAATGATTAGTGAGCAGAAACTGGGGTAGCATCTTGGAGGGTGCTTTCTCCCCATTTCTCCCACAGGAAGTCTTGGTCATGGGGCATACTGAGGGAGCTGCAGGCCCTTCTTATGACACCAACATGATCAACAATGGCTTTATAGAATCAAAGTAAACTGTAACTAAGTAACTGATATTACTCAAGGGCTGTTTTTCTGTTTTTAGTCAGCTGAGATGATAAAGGAGGGAATTAACAATCTATCTCAGAGTGAATTCGAAGACTATTTTGCAACTGTAAACTTTCCATTCACAGTAAGTAGTGTCTCTGCATGGACATGAATTAGTCTGTGCACTAAGTGCAGTCCTGAATGAGTACATCGTTAAGTT